TGTGTACCCAATAATGAATTATTATAGTTCTGGATATTTTTTAATACAGTTGTTTTTTTTAACTTTTAAAGTATAGTTGTAATGGATTATATAACACCATTACAGTATCAGAGAATCTGACTTCAACTGTATATTTACAGTCACAGGAAGTTTTATTCACTGATATGTTTTTATGACGTTAATTAACATCCTTTTATTTTAGCTTGAAGGAAGCCCTTTAACTTTTCTCATAAGACAGGTCTACTGGTGATGAATGCGTTCAGTTTCAGTTTGTTTGGGAAAGTCTACTTCTCCTTTATTTCCTAAGGACAACTTTGCTGGGTACTATATTTAGTTGATGGATTTTTTCTTTCAGTGTATTGAATATATCATTCCTCTTTCTCCTGCCTGAAAATTTGTATTGAGAAATCCACTAATGTTCTTATGTGAGTTTTTCACAAGTCACTTTTGTCTTGCTACCTTTAAAATCCTCTCTCTGTCTTTGACTTTGAACCCACAAAGTGTGTGTGGGTTGCCCTTTTCAGCTTCTCCCTATTGGGTCTATTGGGCTTCATGGAACTGAAAGTCCATTTTGCTCCATGCATGGTAAATTTTCCACCATTATTGTTTTAAACACACTTTACATTTCTTTTACTCTTCTCCTTCTGGGATTCCCATAATGCTAATATAGTTTTCTTATTAATGTCTTATAAGTCCTGTAGGCTTTTTACCTCTTCGGCTTGCTCCTCCAACTGCATAATTTTAAATAACCTTTCTTCTAGTTCCCTGACTCTTTCCCCTGCTTGACTGAGTCTGCTGTTACAGCTTACTATTAAGTACTTCCGTGCATTTAATGTTTGCTTCATTGTAGGATTTTTGGTGTTCTTTTGTAATTTCTTTTTTTTGTTAAATTTCTCATTTTTTCATTTAGTTAGCTGTCTGTGGGATCTTGTACTTCATTAACTTCTTTAAGAGGATTCTTCTAAATTTTTTGTCAGGCAGTTTATAGATTTCCATGTTTTAGGGTAGTTATTATAGTTTATTAGTTTTCTTTTGTACTGCCATGTTTACCTAAAAATTTCATTCCTGTGTTGGTATCAGTGCATATAATTAAGCGGTCTCCTTTTCCCAAATTTACAGACTTTCTTCACCAAAAAAAATGGTTTCATTAGTCAGCTCAGTTTGGAACACAGGACAGGGAGATGATAAGATCCATAGGGAGGTGGGGAAAGTTATCAGGGTCTTTGTTGGGAAGGCCATTGCCTGTGCTCTGAAGGTGGTGACTGGAAGCTGGCTGAACTGTGTTTTGGTGGCTCTGCTGATTGGGCTCCCCTGATCAAGTCAGGCTGCTAGCTGTGCTCTGAGGCTAGATGGGCTTAGCAATCACCTATATTTGGGTGACGTTTCAGATTGTTTCATGGTATGGTAGTGCCTTGTAGGACTCTGAAAATGGTCGGGATTACAAGCTGGGCTTTACAATGGCTCCTGTGTGGGTGGAGTTTCAGACCATGTTCCCTAGCTTGATGGTGCCTCTAGCTGGATTTCATGTTCAGTTGAGGCAACAAGGAGAGCTTCATAGTCATAGTGGGTGTTGAAATGTGATCTGAGATCTGGTGAGGCCAATGGGTGTTTCCTGAAGTTGGCCAGGTTACAGGCTGGGCTACAAAATAAGTTACCATAAATTGCTAGCGGTGCTCTGCTATTGGATGTGGTTATTGGCAAGATTTTCTAGTTGGGAGAGGCCTCCAGCTCCATCCTACAGTTGGGTGGGGATAGAGACTGTTACACAGGTGGGCAGAATCACTCTCCTGTCTCCCTCATTGGATGGGTTACAAACTGTGCTCTATGATTGTGTGGGCTCATTGACTAGCTCCATGAATGGGTGAGGCCACAGTCTGTGTTAGTCAATTGGACAGGGTCATAGCCTGGGCTGTCTTGCTAGAAAGAATTATAGACCTGGCTCCACATATCAGCTGAACCATAGGCTTGCTGTCAAGGCTGCCAGGGTTCTCTGGCAAAGCCTTCAAAATGGCCAGGACTAGAACTATACTCAACAGTTGAGTGGGCCTGCAAATATGCTTCTCTGATTGGCCTGGGTAGTAGAATGGGCTCTATGGTTGGTACAGTGTGACTAGGGACCCAATTCAGGTAAAACTGCCAACTGAGCTCTCTGGTCAGATGGTATTGTTGCAGAAAATCACTTTCACACTTAGGGAGATAATGAAGCACAAACTTTATTATGCACATGGGCTCAAGGGGGAGGTGTTAATTTCCCAAAATCCTGAGCCCCGATTTTTATTTTCCTGCGGTTTAAATAGTCCCAGGCTTCCTGCCTATGTGGTGAAGCAAAGTTACAGAAGCTAAATGCAGAAGTTAGGTCTAGTTACCTCATATGGGAGACAAAGGAGCAAAATGCAGGAGGAAAAATTTGCAGAAGCTACAGAGCACAGGAGCTTATCATGGGAGTTAGTGTATGACCTTGAGATGACTGGCCATTGCCTTGGTGACGGCTCCTTACCTATTTGCAAGTGTTACAGAGCATAGAAACTTTTTCATGGGGGGTTTCTTTTCCTGCTACAGTATGAGTAGCTTTGAAGAGCAGAAGAGCAGACCAGTCATTGGGCTCTGTCTTAAAGGACTTCTACAAGCAGGATGCAGTCCACCCAGTCCTGAGTTCTGGGTGCTAAAAGGCTCCCCCTTTGCTCACATTTCTATTAGTCATCTAGTAGCGAGAAATCACCTAGCTTTTTGCTTAAGCCAGACTGCTGAATCACATGGACATGGAATGGGGATTACAACCTTTGCCTCCTTAAATCTTTGCAGGTGGCACCAACCTATATCATTCCCTCCTTTTCCAGGGGGTACGATATTGCCTTCAACTTACTATTTTCACCAAAGAATACTTCCGTTTCAGAGCCTTCCATCTGGCCTTCCCTTGGACAGTTGTTATTTCCTAGGTTAAGAAATGATAGGGTAAAAAACCAGGTTGGCCAACTGCTATGTGTGTCCTTATTATACATTTGAAATCGTGGGAGATGACTGCTGGGTGGTTCCATGGATTGAGTGGACTCACTGTTAGATGGACATCACCTTACTTTCATAAATGTCTTCTAACAGGGGCCGTTATGATGTTTTGGGCTCCTAGATATCAACTGAGACACTCTATTAAAAACTCTTAATATTTCTGTGTATTTTCTTTATCATGCATTTGGCTATTTGAATAATTTGCCATAGGTCTCCTTGCTGGAGAACTCAGGGAATTATTACTGTGTACAATCTGCACACTCCTTTCTTGTAAGAACTGCCCTCATTTCCATCCACAGACTATGGGGCAAGTATTGGCCTAGTCCATGCCTAGGACTGGCTTGCTAAGACCATTATGTTAAGGTGGGTTCCCTAAAAGCAAAGCCTGAGATAAAGTCTCTTGAATAAGTAATTTATTGTGAGAATTCTCTTGGGAGGAAGAGGGTAAGGGAAGCTGGATACCATGGAGGGGAAAGCTAAGTAAGGATGTGCTCTCAGCGGGACAATAGCTCTAGCCTGAATCCCTGGGGGCATGGGAACACAATCACTGCACATAGTTGGTTCATCTTTGGGGATGGGGACCAACCCCCAGGCCAAAGAGATGTAACTTTCAGGTGATTATGGCTTCATTTGCCCAAAGCAATACCCTGGGGAGAGGTGGTGGCATGGCAGCCAACCCACATAGTTGCCAGGGCATAAGAAATCTGCCTGATGGTGAAAGACAAATACCGTATGATCTCACCTTTAATTGGAACCTAATCAACAAAAGGAACAAGCAAGCAAAATATAACCAAACGCACTGAAATTGAGAACAGGCTGACAGTGATCAGAAGGGACAGGGGAAGGGATAATGGGAGAAAAGGGTGAAGGTTTTACAGGAACAACTATAAAGGACACATGGACAATAACAAGGCAGGGTGGAACCAGGGGAAGGAGGTGGGGGAGCTGGGGTGGTGGAAAGGGGTGAGGGCAAGGAAGAAAACTGTACTTGAACAACAATGGAAGAAAAAAAAGAAATCTGCCTGAAAGTAGGACTTTTCAGGATGCGAACAGCATCAACTACATCAGTGCACTGTTCTAATTTGTCTCCTGAATAGCAAACTGTTTTTTGAAAGTCTTCTTAAAATCATCCTTAGTGAATTCTGCATCATTGCACTAGAAAAAAAAAACAAAGATAATAGCACTCATTATCAGTGTCCTTAGATACCTTGCAACTGACAATGACAGGGACTCTTAACCAGGTTAAGTCTAAAAACACATGCATCTAAGAGTAACTTGTTTCCTAAGAACATGATTACTTCTAGCTGACTAGACAGAAATGGGAAATCATTACTACACTGGAGGACTCTTACTCATTAGGTTTGGGTTGTCTCTTTCAGTGAGAATTAGAAAAGTAATCTAAGATCTTAGTAACAATCAAATATCACAGATGTCTATGTACAACCAGTAACCTTCCTTTCACCTTGTCACTTCTATTCCCCTCTTGAGTCCCCTGTTAAGTATATAGTCCATTCACATGCAAAGGACTCTGCAGTTTGGGATCCCTGAGAGTTCTGAGTGAGTATATTTGGGGAGAGGCAAGAACAACAGAATGACTTTAGGGCAAAATTCTCTCCTTAGGTTTGGAGCAGAAGGAAGTGACTGTTCTCTGTGCGCACGTGACACCGTTTCAGAGGGGAATGAACCCTCAGGGACTGGGGTTCTGGTTACAGAGAAACCTTCTGACTAACTGTTACTCTCCCTGGTGAGCATAAATCCTGAATTTTAAAACTTACTCACTTCCTGAACCCTTGCTTATATGGCCTTTCATACGATGAGAGAAACTCTAAAATTTCCCAGCACCAGGAAATGAAGGCAGAGTGACTTAATGGGAGGAAAATGAAATGGAAACAGGGGAGCCACTTACACTGGGGATAGTAAAGAATTCATTCATGGCCAGCACAAAATATCCCACACGGGGGTAGTCTCCCTTATTTAGTTTCTCCTTGATTTCAGTCCCAACTTCCTAAGTTTCTTTAGACATCGAGAAGCCTCTTCAACCTGGTGAGAAATATATCAATAAGAGAGTTACTGACATAGTGCAATGGCTGCCTATTGCACTATGAAATATTCCCATCAAATCCAGCAGAAATCCAAGGTGAAGATACAGGCAGCTCATGTTTTCTCTCCCGGGGACTTCAGATCACAAATCCCACAAGAACCCGTGTCAAGGTCAGATAACATTATGGTAGCCTGTATTGATGATTTGTTGTTGTTACTCACATAATTTTCATGTGGAATATTTGGGAAAACTTTGCTCTCTAAAGGGCCATAGACATTTAAGAGGAGGAACGCACATTTCTGCAAAAGAAAAAGGCAGTGAATTAAAAAAGAGCTTGGAGAGAATGAGCCCATAGGCATGTCCAGACACACGCATGCCTACCCCAGTCTTCTGGAAGTTTCCCCAAACTGGTATTGCTCTTGGACACTAACAGGTAATGGCTGAGTATTTTCCTGCAAACAGGTCTGGTGAGTTTGCAGCATGGTTGAGGTGCTATCAGAAAACTAGGTACCACTTGGCATCCACCCCCTCAACCTGTGATTGATGGACTTCTTACATGTGAGGAGAAAGGAGAATGCTTAAGGTTCAAATTCAACTTACCAGCTTCTCTTCAGACCCCATAACCTTCACCAGGACTTCAGATTCACTGTCATGTTGCTGGCTTGGAGGATTTCCTATTGTGCAGTATGTGCACTTCCAAGCATTCCTGAGATGTCAGATATAAATGAGCAAGGAAAGGACCAGAAACTGTCACTATCACTATGGCTACCACTGTTCTCCTTTCACGAATGGCCAGTAGGCAAACAAGAAGGATGGATACACTTCTCAGGCTCTCTACAATTTTTTATGTGATGACCCTCCTCCCATAGAGGGTAGTCATAGAGGGTAAGTGGATGGAGGGTAGTGTCAGGGTGAGTGGTGGGTTCTCCTTTCCCCATCTGAGCGGCTGAGAGCACCAGGAACACTACCCACCAGACCAGAGTGCTTGAAACTGTGCCCTAACTCCTGGAGGCCTCAGGCTTCCATTAGCCTGTTGAGAACATGCACAATGAGGAAACCAGACCATGTATCCTTCCTTTTCTAAATAAACACAAAACACAAAGAGCTGGCATTTCCACTTCTGTAAAAAAGGGGTCTGTGCTGGGAGAGTTCTGGAAAGGACAGTGACATTATGAAGGCAAAGGACCCAGCCATTGGCCTCAGCCTCCCAGAGGCTAGAGAATGTTTCCCTCCTGCTGCCAGCATCTTTCAACAGCTCCTGGGATCATACTGCTGACCCCTGTACCTCCAGCCCAGCTCTGTCCCCATCAGGACACAAGGAAGAATCCCGCAGGGGGGAGTGAGCATTGCAGGAAGAAGGGTCTATAAAATGAGAGAAGGGGTCTGCATCTCACAAACCTTCTAGTCTCCACAGGTGGGAGGTGACAGCCCTCATGAAAGACTCTGGGACAAGTACCACAGCCAACGAGCTTTCCTCCATCCTGGCAGATTACACATTTGCCTGAGTTTTCCACCTAGAAGATAAAACAATGACCACATCCCCATGAGCTTCTGACAACCAGCACTGTGGGAATCTAGGACTCATGGCCTTTGTGCGAACCTTCAGGGACTCCTCTGTGTTTCACTGAGCTGTGAAGGAGAGCACAAAATGGGGGTTTCAGAAGAAAGATTCTTGTTCTGCTGTGAAGTTCAAGAGAAGCTTTTGTGACCAGACTGGAGACGTTTTTTTCTGTTAAACCAGAGATCCTAACACAGAACCACAGGCAACAAAACAAGAGGATGATTTCATAAGAATCTGAATCATCTCATTACCTTGCAGATAGAACGAGGTTCTGAAATAAAGTGTTAAATCCATTTGCTTACACCACAGTGACTAACATTACTGTTGGAAAAAGGGGTATGTTGAGAAACTAATAAGATGGAATAAACATTTGAGAAAGCACTGCATCCTGTATTCTTGGCTGTCGGCTTCCATGAGTTGAATGGCCTGTTAGGGCTTCCTGGACTGTAGATTCACTGCCCAGAGGGACCCAGGGCCTGTGGCACTGCCTTTGGGTTGGAAAGACCATGACACATGGCCAGGTGGTACCTGGGAGGATGGAGGCCTTTGGCTCTAAAAGCCTGAGGAAGATGCCCCATGACTCAGCTTGGCATGTAAGGTGTGGAGGCTCCATCTCTCTGTGGCCAGGCAGTAACAATTGCATTGTTGCATAAACAATGTGAAGGTCTTCTTTCCCCCACTAAAGTACTCAACTAAAACTGTAGTGTTACCTGTCTCAATATAAATAACTACATTTCATTTTATTTGGAGAAGATAAAATTTGACAGCATTTGCATCCAAGTCTTGTAGTACAACTCCTTCCCATTAAACCCAATTAAATTTACAGAGCAGATATGAAGATACACTGTATTATATACAAACACGTGGGTTCATGGCAAAGACCTGGCCTGTGGCTGAGCTCTTTCTTAATGAAGGAAGCACAGTGTAAGGACTAATATTAAAGCTCACTGTCAGGTGCTGCTGTGACATCTGGTAACATTGAGATGGTCTTAGAGGGCCTGTGTGCATGTGCCTCTACCCACCCTGCTGTCCTGGACAGGGTCCCACAGCTAAATAATGCTCCTTGTTAAGGGACTACCACTGACCTGCCCATGTTGGAACATCAGGTTTCAGTTCTCTGTCAGCCATGGAATTTTTTCACATAGACCAGCCACAGCCTCCTATGGAAACATGGGATCCCCCCTCACCCTCCCAGCCCCTGGTTGTCTACTCAGCTATGCAGGGAAACCTTAGTGAGGCCTGTGGGTCTGGCTCTGCCCTTCTTCCTTGGTCTGGGAGTAGACATGACTAATAACACCGGTCAACCCATCTGTGCAGTGACAGATGCCATTACTTCCCATCTCTCAAATGTCTGGTGGACATCCCACCCTCATCAATAGGATGAACAGGAGGTGATTACAACAACAACAACAAAACACTTTGTTGTATGTTTTTAAAATGAAAGTCAGTATTTACATATGAGTGTGGATCAATCAGGAATGATACGAGCCTCTTTTGCTTTCTTGGTTCTGCCTTCTGAGAAAACCCAGGTAGTTTGAGAATCACTGGAGGGTTATTCTATCCCAGATAGAAACATCCTATCTATCCCAGGGTGGAGAAATTCCTCCCCTTCTGTGACCATCTGAGGTGACATAAATGTGATTGGTTTGGAGACTGGCCCCCACATTGATGAGTGCTGGGTGGAGGGAAGTGGGCTGTTGAGGAACAGGAGGAGGCAAGGATGACAACTTCCACCCTTGTGTACTTTGACTACTTCTGCTTTCTCGAAACACATGCATTCTGTGCCATTTTTCTCCTGGGATTACTCCCTCAGACTCACTGCTGTATCACTTTCCCTTGCCATCCTTGTCCTCCTCCAACATTTACACAGAATCCCTCAGGTTCCAATCATTGGCCATTTGAATGGCCCCAGATGATCCAATCACTTTCAAAGCTGCAGTTCTATTGCTATGTCGCCAGCTCCCAGCTGTCCAGCCTGTCTCCTGCCTTTGTGCACATCCCTGTGTTCACCCAGCATCTTCTCCTGGGCCCTTGGATCACACCCCCAAACTCATGCAGTCAAAACTGAATGTATTCTCTTGTCCCCACATCCACTACCTGTTCTTTCTTGATGCTTCCATTTCATAAAACTACAACTTCCACAGAAAACCTGAGAATCCAACCTGGGTCTATACACTTTTTCTTATTGCAAATAAAAACTCCCCACTCCTTCTCACAGTAATTTTTAAGCTTCCAGTGTTGGTTCCATTGTCTCTGCAGGGTCCATGGCAAACAGGGATGCTGAGACCCTAATGAACCAAACAACCACAGTACACAAAGAACAGAAAGGTCCTTCTTGAAGCCAATGGGCAGAGTAAGAGTAATTTGGTACACAGCCATGTTATTTCTCTTAATGTAGGAAGTAATAAAGATAAAAAGCCACTAAGATGTATTTTGAATCTTGTTTAGGGATTTGGGATAAATAGTCTTCACTTGGGGGGAATCAGGACTTTGGTCATTTCTTTTAATTTAAAATATGTCCATATATGAGAAAGTGCAAGAACCAAGGATGTTGGGAACTACCCTGCCTGGTTTCAGAAGCTGTAAGCACCCCATGGCTAAGGCTGAGTGAGTGACCTTTCAGACCATAAGCCACTAAGGAGACAAAGCTTATCTCCCTGGGAGGGGCCCTGCTTCTGCTCCTTTTTCTTTACCCTGCCTGGCGCCCAATGCTTGGTGGGTTAGGCAATGACGGGTAAGATTTCCCAAGGGGGCAACGACCTAAGACAGGCACTATCATGGGGAGAACCCAAGGAAGGACTTGGGGGGCTATAGCAAAAGCTGGTGATGGACCCTTACCCTTCGGCTTTGACATAGCCTGAGTCCTCATTCTGTCTGTGAGAAGACTCCTAATCTCTTGGCTGCCTCACTTGCCCCTGGTTGACTTATGCCTGAAACAATGAGACAGGGTGGTGCCACCCTATGCTGGAAAGGGCAGGTGAGCAAGCCTAAGAAAGAATACATAAAATCCAATGGGAGGAAGTGGGGAGGGTTCGGTGGGTGGGCTGGAATGGGAGTAAAAGGGAGAAAACTGTACTTGAACAATGATTAAAATAAAAAAAAATACATAAAATCCTGTGAAACCTGCTTTGCTAAGAATGTTCTCAATTAAATGATACTTGTCTAGGCAGGAAATGGTTTTGTTCCCCAAAGTTTTGTAGCCCTTTAGCTAACAGACCCTGACTCAGAATAAACCCTTGAAGATCTTTGTATGCTATTTGTTGTTTGATCCTTACTGCCTGACAATGATTAATGAACCTTACCTGTATTCTTGTATAAATTGAACCCAATAAAATCTCGTCAAGGCAAGGCTTGGCACGCTCTCCCCCTTGAGAGAGTAGCCATCCCATCCCTTTTCCTCCACAGAACTTGGGAGTCCATGTGAATTTGTCTCGTATCTCATCCAAACACCGCAGACACTGTGAGCCGGTACATGCGTCACCAAGGGACATCTTGTCAAGAGCTTCCATTCCATGTTCTGGGGAGAATCTTGAATCACATGCACAATGGAGACTGAGACTGCTCCATCATGGAGGCCTGAGACAATTTCCTTCTCTCCACTGTAGGGACTCACAGTCCTTCTCACTCTCCAGAAAGTGGCAACCCTCTTCCCAGAAGGACAAGGAAATAACAAACATAACCAGTACATAAGAATCTTGCACCCCCAATCTTTTAATCAAGACCAGACTCTTATCCCTTTGGCTCTTTCTTTCTCAGCCCATCTGCACACTTGAATTGTCATAGGAGAGCATGTAAAGTAATAACGTCCTGGTTCCAATGTCTGAAATTCTGATCAATTGATCTGGGTGGGGCTTAGGCATTGGCACTCTCCTTAAATCATATAACGAGTAGCTTATGTATGAAAAGCATCTGGAGACTATTTAACAATTCTAATGTTTAAGTCATAATTCAGAACACTTAAATCAACATTTTTGTTTAGAGTGGGATTCAGGTAATGTCATTTTCCAAAGGTGACTCTAGTACAGCCTAAATTGAGATTTAGCCTGAGCCACTGTGGTTATTAATGCATGAGAATCTTGTAAGTCATTGTTGAATTGGCCTGTAATATCTATCCTAGGAAACATTATTATTAACAGGAGTGAGGCTACTCTTCCTGGAACAGTTGTTTTCTCCTCCCCACAGACCGTTGGTTACTGGCAGTATGACAGGACCCTCTGGGTCACCATCTCTTATTCAGGGTCCTGGGAACCATGCACATGTCCCAGAGAAGAAATCCACCACCACCTGCAGCTCTTTTAAGCCACCACCCTAATGATAAAATAAATTCAAGGTCCTCCATATTCCAATTCTTCTTCCAGAAGATCACACCCCTCTCCATTCATCCAAATTGCAAGATGGAACCTATCTGACTTTTCACAGGAAACCAACCACAGTACACTACACTTGCAGTGCTTTTGTACCTTCAGTAGAATGACATGGCCTCTTTTCCGTCAGGCAGCCTCAGCTTTTATCTCACCCAGGGCAGAGAAGTCACACACTAGTGTGATCCACTGTCAAGTGACCTGAGAAATGATCATGTCACTGCCTGTCTCTTGGGTACTCTAGAGTCCCTGATCCCCAGTACTTATTGTTACATAATAGATCATTGAAGTTGAAACAATCCTCAAGTGCAGGGATATTATTTCTATCTTCTTCATGGACACTGGGCATTTCTATGCACTTCAGTAACTGTATGTTGAAGGAATAAATAAATGAGTATGGTTTCACTTAGGAAAAGAGAACATTTGTTATCTTTTTAGCAAACATTAGCATATAATAAATGGTTGGTCTGGCTGATTATTTCAGATTACATGACAACACACAGCAGTTGTCACCAGAAAGTATAGGTAGCCCTCTGACGACAGGAAGCTGTCATGTGGTGCCAAGATCGATATTGAAATTTCCAGAAACCAGGGTCTCCACCAACAAGAGAAAATCTGGGAGATACAGAGGACCCACCAAGGTAGTAGTGTATTCTGAGATCTGCCAGTTTGAGTCACATTGGTTCTTGATCAAAAGACAGAAAATATATGAAAAATTGAACCTGATTGCTACAAAGTGTTGCACCCAGAGATAAGGATAGGACCTGTGTGTTGGAAGTTTCTAACTCCTTCAAGTAATCCAGATAAAGTAACTCCATACCAATAGAGAATGGTAGAGACATTACAGTAGTCATTGACTAGACCCAACAGTAATTTCTCTTTACTAAACACAGTGGGTGAAATGTCCCAATGTCCAGGTGTTTGAAAGACCCAGAACATCAAATAATGTAAAGTTCTGGACCTCACATTCCCAGTGTTAGATGAAGTCCCAGAGGCCAGCTCTCTGTAAGTTAATGTAGAATTCTGTGAATGTCCTGGGTGGCCATTTCTACCTGAAGAGTACAAGATGGCACCTTTCCCCTTCTTCTCCTTCTCAAGTTCTCATTCATACCAGATGTTGTGAAAAGTACCACTTTGTCCTGAATCTACACTGCATATTACATATTTTTTGTTGCCTCCATGGTCTTTTTTCCACCTTCTTCCACCTCAGGGAGAAACCACCTTCACAGATGGAAAGGAAGCCTGCTCAGCCTCTGAGGTGGAGCCAAAGGGGGCATCAAAATAAACAATTTCCAGGTCAGCCCCTCACACAGGCTACATCCACCTCCCAAGAGCTCCCTCCCCAACAGCAACATCCTCATGAAAAAATTTGCCAATAATTTCCACTTTAAGAAAGAATTATGTAAGTCTATTTGTTCATTTTACTGAAGGATGGAAGAGTATGTAGATAATCAGAGAAGAAATATGCTCTTAGTTTCCTATGTCATGAAGTAGTATATGGTTTTGTATCTGTCCCAAGATAGACTATCTACTGGATGGGTTCATCTGGATGATGAGGAGCAAACTTTTTTCCTTTTCAGATTTCATTAAAGTAAGGAAATAGTAACCTTTATCAAAAAAATCTGGGATGGACTTGAAGATGACCCTATACCCTGTTAAGAAAGGTTTTTATGCATTCCATAATCATGTTTGCTTTTACAACTTTGACAACTTTACAACATCTACATGTATAGCTAAAACTCAGCTATATGAGATCTATTTTAGATGGCTCCTCATCATCCCCATCTGAAATGATTTACAACCCACAGATAACCTTGCATGCAACCTAATGTTCAAAGGAGCAACACTGAAGGCACACGAAATACGTTTGTATGTATGTATGTATGTACATACATAAATAAATAAAGGCACTGGAGAGGAGAAAAAGAAACAATGTTAACTATGTACTGAGAAACCATAAAAATGATACAGTACATATAAAATTAGTTATGTAATGAGAACTTGAATAAAATAATAATTACCTTTTTGTAGTGGGAAGTGGAAGGATAAATCCAAGCTGAAAGAAAAAAAGATCCAAGTTGATGCTTAGCCTGTGTTTAAGTTTTGTGAGTCTGGCATTCCCACCTCCTTATAAATATTTCTGCACAAATGTCCAACTGTCATCTCAAAGTCCAGGTGTCTCATTGAGGAACCATCTCCCTCTCCTCACCTGTTCTTCTAGGTCCATCCACAGAACCCAGAAATACATCTTTGGAAACTTATCCCTTGCTTTTGTGCATTTTTAAAAATAACTTTTCAGAGGTTTTCCTTCACAATCTCTTAGGCACCTCTCACCCCCTCTCCATTCCCACCAGTGCCACTCACACCTGCCTCCTCACACCAGGACTATTCAACCAACACTTGGGTCCCACACCTACAGAATGTCAGACACCTGGACAATGTTGGGCACATAAAGGACAAACCTCAGAGGGGTCTAGAAAGACAAAAAGGAATCCATGGAAAAATAAGAATAAGACAATGTGAGAAGGACCTTACTTGAGAGTTCAGGGGGCCCAGGGAAGGGGTGACCAGGCAGGTCAGCCAGGGAACATTCAGACAGGAGTGACATGGGAGCTGAGCCTTGAAGATTGACTATACATTTCTTGGGCTGAAAGACAGTGAAGTCAGTTCAAGTCCCTGTGTTGTTTGAGATACTGTTTTAAAGGTGTCATATCAAAACTCAGGAGAATCCCTGGTTCTGCACTGTGTATGTTATGAGTTTAAACTCCTTAGCTTGACATTAAATCTCTCTGCCAACACCAACAATTGATGGATTATGCTGTATCTCATATAATCTGTCTATATCAACTCAGATCATGTTAATTATGGTTCTGGTTTTACAACACTCTTTCTCTCGAGTGTGTTCCGCCTATTTGTTTGACTGCAGACAGTCCTCTTTTTTTCAGTGCCTACAGTTATCTGCAAGCACCTGGGTCAGAGTGACCTTTCCCTCCTCCAGGCCCCTTCATGCGTACCAACAGAGCCCCTTTGACAAATGGATGGGTTCCCTTGTACTGAGGTATGAGTGTAGGGCACCTCTTCCTGTGAAAAGGATAAAGTCTGGGGCCCCAAGGCTGCATCCACAAGTCAACATATATTTGGTGAACAAGTGGTGACCTCCTCTTTGACCACAACAAAGAAAGTCACACTTTCTGTCCCCCGTCAGTGAAGTACCTCTATCAGAAGTCTTAGGCGTTTTCCACCACAGGTCAGGTGGTCCCTCCAGTTATTTGCTTTTTCGTAGCCTCCTCTGATTTCAAACTCCTTGGGGGGTGAACCAGTTTCCATCTTCAGTTCTTATGCACTTCCTTGTGGCTCCTGTAAGACCAGGGTACTTTGATCCTAATCCCTCTTTGTCCTCAGTGCTCAGAGGTTGGCCTCCCACCACCTTGGATCTGATGTCACCCATCTGGGTTCAAGATCAATAGCAGGAGCTTTTGATCTCCCCTTTCATGCTTCAGGACCCCTAAACACAGCCTGTAAATTCCCTCCAAGGTGACTTGCTGCTTTCAATTAAAATCTCAATAGGGGACCTGCAGCTCACAATGGCACTAAGGCAACATCCATGTCCTGTATTACAACAATTTTCTTTGACTTTACCATCATTATTGAGCAGATATGTTTCCATCTTTGAAATCATGGGTAGCTGATACTAAAATAATTGTGAAATATTAATCAGTAGAAAGTTTAACTGATAATGTAAAAGATATTCATATACTTCATGACATTATCATTAGATAAAAGGAAATTAAACCACAATCAAATTCTACAGTCTAAGCACTAGGGTGGCCACTGCAAAAAGACAATAACAAGTGTTGGTGAGAATGCAGAAAAATTGGAACCCTCAGATTTTGTTGATGAGAATTAAACTGGTGCAATACCTTTAAAAATTGTTTGTTTTTTTCTCAATAATATCAACAGAGAATTACCATATAATTCTGTAATTCCACTCCAGGGTATATACTAAAAAAGAATTTTAAAAATGTGTTCACAAAAAAACTTTACGTGAAACAGTATTATTCATGATAGCTAAAGAATGAGAAAACCCTAACTGAAGGCTAAATGCAATACTGCATATCCATATTATGGCTCACACAGGACAATAAAAAGAAAGAAGTATAATACATGGTACTGTGTGTATGAACCTTGAAACTTCATGCTAAGTGAAGGAACCAGTGACAGAAAGGCAGATGTTATGTGAGTCAACTGACATAAAATGCTTAAATAGGTCCATTTATAGGTCAGAACACAGATTAATCAGTGCTTAGGGTGGGCGATGAGCCTGGGTGGGAAAGGGCACTGACAGCTGAAAGGCATCGGGTTTCCTTTGGTGGGGACTAAATGTTCTAAAATTAGATTGTGAAGTTGGTTTTATAGTCTTGTGAATGAACAAAATAAAAATATCAGTAAAATCTATACTCTAAATGGTGAATTATACATGTGTGTGTTATATCGCAGGGAAGCTGTTTCAAAAGTGTTATGATACAAACATTTATTTATATTAGTGTTCTCATAGCCATATTAAAAAATAATCTGATATGAAGTTCATCATCTATACAATCAGTAAAAAACTTTTATAATGTTAAAATCACAAAACCCTTTACATTCATCTGTAAACAAAATCTCAAAGTCACAGCAGGAGGCAGGCTTGTAATTATTTTCCATTTCTTAGATGGGAAGTTTCAGGCTCCAGAAGGTCCCAGTCTTCACACTGTCTCTCAGCAGAGCTGAGGCTGGGATCAGGTTTTCTGACTCTAAACTCTGTTGTCTCCTCACTGCATCTAACACCCTGTCCTGGTGGTGATTATCCAGGTGGGATACAGGACGTGAACGTGGAGGCTGAGGACCTCTTCCCTGTTATATCTGACTCAAAGTAAAATGTGCAATATTTTCCACCCAGAGACTGACATTCCTGCACTTGTCTTTGGGCATCCTCACGGGCACTTCCACGTGGGGGTGAGCACTTGATATGCAGCACTGCTTAAAGTGCAAAAACATCATCTTAGGGATCCCTTCCTTCTTCTTTCAAGCCACATGGGGCCTCAGTTCCTTGAATGACAGGAAATTGACATGGGTAATTATATTACTGCATGTGATTCCTTCACAGAGGGGCTGCAAATTAAAATAAACCCTGAAACCTACCTCGTTCCAATTTCCTCTTAATTAACAGCCCCTTCTTCTCTCCACAATTCACAGGAAGTATTTCATCTTGAAAATCCACAGGCACACCTGGCTGCTCTCCTGTCCCTGAAAGAGAAGATACTTCATTCTGTCTCATTTTACAATTGCACATGGAAAACTTCCTGTCATGTAGTTGTTGTTTCTATAAAGTCATAGAGGTACCTGGGGAACTTTATTCCACAAATCTGCAGTTTCAGAGTCTTTCTTTCAGTGACATTTCTTTCATTGGCATTGTGGTTTCAGATACACAACCACAGAATGTCTACTTTGATTTCACCTCTCAGACCCCCCCACAATCAGAATGTTTTAGCAGAGACAGCAGGAGTCAGTGCAACTGTCTTAGCTCCCCATGCAGTCAGCCCCCTGATACTTACGTGACAGTGGTACATACAGCTGCTGTCCTGGTAGAAGGGAGCTCTGCAGCTGGGCTACTTCCCTGCACATAGGTCATAGGTCACTGGAGGCAAAGTCCCAGACTGTACCTGTCTCTTCCTGTGTGAGCTCTGACTCTGGAGCAGAGGGGACAGTGATGGGGTGACCTAATGGAGATGGTGTCTGCCTGCTGTTTGTGTTCACTGCTTTGCCTCATTTCTCCCCCCACATCAGCCTTCTCCAAAGCTGAAAGGGGAGCCCAGGAAGCTCTAGAGCAATCTGCAAATTGCATGGTTGGCTGGACCATTTGCAGTCTGACAATGGTGTGCCCTTTATCAGAAGATAAACCCATTTCTCTGATCATCTAATTTTGTGATCTTGTCTCCTCCTATCCACACCCTTATCTGTTAGGGTTCTTTGGACACTAAAGGCATCCCTCACCAAGGAAGACAGAAATGGGGGATAAGTTGTGACCAAAACAAAAGTGATGGGGGATCATTGTTATTATAAAGGCTGACTCTGACAATTCTGGATTCTGTTCAGACTCTTACTGGGAATGATGCCTCATACTTTGCCCAACCAGCCTGCAGGGTGCAGTTTTCAGAGTTCCCAGGTGATTCAGATTTAATTTTGATTTTATTTTTTCGGAAATGCTTTTGCCAGGCTTGTATCTGATTCTTCTTGATGAAAAGTCTGAGTGACAATAGGAGATTATTAGAAAGAAAGAGGAAATTGCAGTCATTAAAATGGTACACATTTTGTACCATTTTGTAACAGTGAAGGAAGAGCAAAGATCCAGGCACCTGAGGAGGAAACACCTAGGATGTATGGGAGGTGGAGAGGTATTAATGATATCTGTCTTCCAGAGCTGCTCTGAGTATTCTTTCTAGAAAGAAACCACCTTGCCCAGGTCTTCCACCACTTGGGTGCTGAGTCTGCCACTCAGCACCAGATACGATTAATCAGGGGCTGGTGCCAATATCTGTTCGTCTCATGCAGAGTGTCTCTGGACAATGTCCCCGCACTGATTCTCAGTTGTTCAGTGGTGGGATGTGGTGGTGACAAATGCTATATGAACATCATGGCCAAAGAGGTCAGTTTGGAGAGACTGTCCTGTCCCAACCTCTTTCCAAACCCCATCAGCAATGAACAGAACTTTCCAAATCCTGGCTGCTATATTCCCCTTAGGAACCTCAACAACTGTAAATGCCTCTTTTTCAGGGCCACTGTGTGTGTCCTTGGGATTGTACCTCTTGTGTGAAAGCCAGGCCTTCATTTGTCTCTCATGCAAACACGGTGACTTCAACTGTAAGGGATGATTATGGGAGACTTAAACAATTGTGGTTTAGGAAATTTGTTTAATACTGAAGGAGACCAATTGAATGAATTTGGTCCTAGACTCCAGTGGTCCCAGTAATCGTCCTGGCTGGTGGAGTGGTATCCTCATGGGGAGACCGCCAGGATCTGCTGTGTCAGGTCACTTTGTTGGGAGGCAACTCTCCATGGGTTGCCACATGCCCCAGAGTATCTTTTTCAAGGATGTGTGAATACAAATAGTTCTAGAAGCCAGAGTTAATGTAGCCCTCCAGGTCAGAAGGCAAATTTGTTTCCCAACCAATATAAAACAGAGAATATCTCCCTCCTTAGAAATATCTCAGGATAATAAAGCCTCCCTTCTCTCTTCAGAGGAGGTTTTTTTTAAGTTCCAAGGTGATGGTCACATTCCATCTCTTGATAAAGATTTGCATTTTAGAAGAGAGTAATTTAATCTGAACTGACAGAATGATGTACTTAATACTTGTACATCTCATTGTAAATATTATCAGAAAAAACAAAATAAATACAAATATTGAAGTCTAGTTAATATAATATACATGCTAAAGTGTTTGGAAGGAAGTATGCTATTGTTTGCTACTTATAAATGTTTCAATATTGAGGATGGTTTTTTAATAAATAGAGAAATGGATAAATGGACAGAAATGTGATAGAGCAAGAACAGTACATGTTCATTGTGAATCTATGTTTACTGTTAATTTTCCCAAGTTTTTGGTAAATTTTAAATTTGTATAATTCAATAGTTGGATAAAGAGGTTTTGGCAAGAAAAAAGCATAGTAACCAAAAAGTGACAGTTAAAATACAAGAGAATATTTGTCAGCCGCACAATAGATTTTAGAAGACAATGCAGTAATCATATCAGTATATTGAGGAGAAAGAAATGTTCACCTACAATCTTTAATCTTGATAAAAATTATTTCAAAATAAAGGTCAATTTGCACATACCACCCTTGGCAGTGTACCACCTTAGACACCCTCACCAAAACAATGAACAATTTTTTCAGGTACACCAAAGGTGACACCAAAGAAAGAAGCAATGATGAGTATACAAAATGATGAAAGATTCATGGAAGTAAATAGTGACTGCAAAATTATAATAGTTTCAAAATTTATAATTTAAAAGATGAACAACAAAATGTAAAACTACAATAGCCTAATGATAAAGATGGGGTGTTTAATTAGAGGGAATCCATGCTAACTCCTTGACATTCTTTGAGATTAAGGCATGTTTAAAGAGATTACAGAAGTTTTGTCTCCAATTTCCACACCAAAACAGAAAAAAAATGAAGTGTAGAATTCTATCTCAATCAACAGATAGCATACAAGAGACACAAAAATACACAAAAGGTGTGGTTAGCAAGAATATAGATATATTAGTTCACATATGTCAGGGATCATAATTAAAGCAACAAGTAAAACATATCTATTACAAGATTAGGATTATCAGAGAAGATTACAAAAAGCTGTGTCATTATGAGAGGAATAAAACAAAGCTGCATAAGAAGGTTTAATGAAGAGATAAAAAACAGAAAACATAAAAGTTAATGTAACAGAATTAGCCCTGTGAAAAAAGAAATTTGAAGGCAAAAAGCATTAATAAAGATGAAGAGGAACACTCTGTAACTACAAAAGAAGACATCCAGTAAGTGATTACAACCATAAATAGTGTCAAAGTATTTAAAGTAAAACAACAGTACAAGAAATAATTGGCAAATATTCAATCATTTGGAAAATTTAATACATCACTAAGTACAAGCCTGATGGATCAAGGATGACTTATTACTGTGGATCCCATAGATTTAAATAGTAGGTTTCATAAAAAAAATATGTATACAGGGAGAAGCCCTTGCCAACATATAGTTCAAATGTATACTATTTTAAAAGGACTTAAAACATTTACAAATATTGATCACACATTAGGTTCCAAAAGAACTTTCAACAAATTTTAAAGACTTAATGAAGTCAATTCTTCATATGGTATTCCAGATATCTACTTTTCATTCCTAATTTACTAATATCTACATTCTTGGAGATGTCATAGTCCAGATAAAATACCATAGTTCATAACTTCCCTAATAGCTGGCAGAACCACCAGTTTAACACTTGATGAAAAAGAATCCCAGATGGTGTCAAAGGAGGTGGGATCTACACTAACCTCCTTCTCAGACCAAATTGGAGTTCCAAGTAAATTATAGAAAAATATCATGAATAACCAACTGAACAATAGCTGGAGAAAAGCCTTATAACCAAGGACTTAGCAAAGAAAACACATCACCACAATGAGAATGGTAGGAAGTCCAGCAGTGTAAGAGGGCTGGCTGGGCTCCCACAGGCAGCAGCTAGAGTTCCAAAGGAATATTTCAGTGACCAGAGGGTGTCCCCAAGGCCAGCACACCAAGACTACAGCACCAGACCTGGAAAAGGCCCCAAATAACATCTGGGTATGAAAAGTGGCCTGGTTTCTGTGTGCTAGGGAGAGATGGCTAGAAACACAGAGAGCCTCTTAACAGGCCAATGCACAAAATTTTGTTTGCAGCCACTTACTCTGGGTCCTGGCAGAATAAGGACAGAGTGGACAAGAGCCTCATGAAGAGAGTCTGGGTTTGGTGGCTCTGGAGAGAGACCTGAAGAGTGAGCCTATGGCAACCCTGTGCTGCATCATTCCCCATATTGCAGAAGTCATCTTTCTCAGGCAGAGCACTCCCTTCCACGAGGCATCAGCCTGAGGGAAGCGATAGCCGCACCTGCAGGAATCCCTCTTGCCCCACACTGTGGAGCTTAAGCTGGGCTGCTGAGGAGTACAGATAGAAGCACCTTCAGTGATTAAGCCCTAACAGAAAGCCTGCAAGAAGAGACAGATTGTTGGGAAATCTGGGACTTTAGTAGACCATTCCACAGGTCCCATGATGGTAAAAGCTGTCCTCGGGGTCAGCCAGGTCCAGCAGAGGAGCCATGATGTGTAAATCGCTTATAACTCCAAACATATTGCCTAGTGCCAGTCACAGTCAGCATGTGACAGTGTGACACAGGTCTACCACAGAGTCTGTACTGATTTCTCAAATACATAGAAACAAACACAAAAAAATCAGCCAAAAAAGGGAAGCAAAGAAACAAGCTCCAATTGAAAGAACAAAATAATTCTCCATAAGAGTAAAATGAAATGAAGGCAAGCAAAGTATCAGACATAAAGTTCAAACTAGCAATTATAGGATACTCAACAACATAAAAAAAAAAGACATGGAAACTACAGAAAAAGGCCAATCAAAAATAAAGAATCTGATATCTGAAATAAATAATACACTGGAAGGAATAAATAGTAGGTTAGATGAAGCAGAGTGTCGAATCAGTGATTTGGAAG